AAGACATAACAATATGTTAATAATAGGCATGCTAATAAGCAACTAGTTAATAGTGAGAACTGGTCCTTATACTTAAGTGCTATTATGAAAATCAGAATATAAATACCTTATTTTCCCAAAAAAATAAAAAAAATTCACCTGACACTTTGGATGTGTCAGTCTGTGCAAGTAAGATCCTTTATGTGGCTTATCGCTGTTAATGACTCTTTTAACATCAATCAAGTCCCGCACTTTATATTCTTATTCCTCCATGGTCTTTTCAAAACTTAAACTACTGAAACGCAAATGCTTTGCTTCTGATGGACAAACACAACTTTCTAAAACAAAGAAGGTAGACCTTTCAGAAAACGTACAAATAAAAAACATTTTAAATGTTTAATTCCTATTTGTAGCATCGGGATCGCTAGACGAGGGCTTAATGAACACATTTTTGTGAAAACCTCGAATTTGACCGTAATTTACATTTTTCACTTGTTTTGCCTGTAGCTCGCAATTAGCCCGTGTCCCTTCTAAATAATTTTGCCAGCACGGGTCACGTTATATATAACATTTTAAAAGTAGCAGTTGTTTTGGAACAGAGCTAATGTGAGAGTTAATGGTGAAGAAAATAGATAATTACACTGTGAATAAACAGACATGCACAGAGATAGTATATAGATAGATACAGACTGATTTTTTATACATAGTACCTTTTCAAACACAGGTTTGTTGTTGTTCACATCGTCAACTCCTACAATGACCTGGGCAATGGCGGAGAGTGACTGCGGCCCACCGGAGGCGTTATCATCTGATGCCGTAACGTTCAGGACGTACTTTACTCCCTGAAGTCTAGGAGACGGGCTGGAGCGGAGACGGATCAATCCTGTGTGGGGTGACAGGCAAACATTTATAGCAACATTTAATTGGCCATTACCCTCGTATAAATCCCACTCAAACTCCATTCAACCTCAGCGCCTTCTTTGAATTAGCAATTGATTCCTCGTTAGTTCAACACAGTTTTAACGCGATCGCATCTAAATAGATCAAATGTGCTTATCAGGGAGCTGCGTTCTTTCCGTACACTGCATTTGACAAACAGACTCTTACATTATTTCATACATGAAAGTTTGTAAATGACATAGGACTTGATGAATACATATGGAGCCATGAAGACTGATCTCTCAGCCCTCATTCATAATGCAGAGAGGCTGTTTCTGACCTTCAAGGCAATGATGAGTATATTTACCATTCCTGAGGCTAGTACTATGCAAAATCGTGTATATATTGTGTGTTTTTATGGATGAATGTGTGTTGTTGCAAATGTGCCAGGGATATCATTATGCTTCATACATTGTGTCTTATCTGCGGAGACAGCCCGAGTCAGCTCCTACGTGACCCTCCGTGGTACACCATGCAGCGCCATCTCTTTCAGGAGAGCGCATTAGACTCTGCTGCATTCAGCTCTGCATTCATAATCTGAAGAGCTAGATGACTGCTATCTCCAGCTAGCAGCAAAATGACATTAAAGAAACCAGCACATCCACTGACACAGACTTGGCAGGAGGGAAATCACATGTACCTTTAGTTTCTTGAATTGATTCTAATGCATAACGCTAGTCCTTTTGCGGCACAACTCAGGGGAAAAAGAACATGTAATCAATTCTAATTCAATCTGAGCACCCCTAGCCGCACTAGCTCCCTATCCAAATGTTAGTGGGGGCTGAAACGAGCGTGTGTGTGTTTGGATTTTGTGCCTTGAGGAGGCATGTCACAGGTTCTAGCTCTATTCTCTTGACAGTTGTATCAACTGCAGGCTATGAGAGCCACAGGATAATCTGTTGAGTAACGTTTTTTCAAAACCACCATTTCAAACCATTGCTACGGTATGCATCACCGCCAATGATTTTAAACAGAGATACACACAGAATTAAATAAAGAGCTTGAGCCGGGATTATAAATATTGACAAACTGGCAGCTCAGGAAACAGAAATTTCAGTAATGATCTGCGTGTGATTTATCGGTCCTTGAGCCGGAAGTGTCTATTACAATTAGTATGTAGTACACTGGTGGAGTCTAGAACAGGACACAGATGGAAGAGGCAGCCAGGACATATCAGTGCACATCAGAGATAGAGAAGATGTTTCTTTATGGCTCTGACAAGCAAATGTCTCTGGTATTTGTGTATTCTCTTTTATGGATTGCTGGACATATCCAAAGCATCCTTAATTACACAATTTATCAGCTTTTGTACAATGTTAACAAATATATTTTCTGGCAGTCTTTTTTTTCTTTGAAATGCATTTCTTCATTGCCAGGCATTCGGATGATGGAACCTTGTTTAGCATGAGGTCTTTAAGCAGGACAAAGAACAAAGGAAAATCAAAACACTACAAATAACAGAGGAAAATAAAAACGCTTGACAGGTGCTGTGTGCTGCCGATGATCTGGCTGATTACCAGCGTAAACACTACGCCGGCGTGCCGGTAAATACTTCCTTCACGCACCGGATGCAGTCTTTGTATTTATGTCTTTAATACAAAAGGCCTGATCATCTTATTGACTTTGCTGTTTGAATCCTTAAAGGGGTATTAAATCAAACCGAGTGCATTCCTCTGTGAGTTACAGTAAATTACCAACGAGCACAATCGCCTAGGCCCTTATTCGCCCCAACAAAAACAACCTAATGGAGGAGAGGCTCTAATGAATGATAGAAGGAATTTCAGTCGAGACGGAGATCTGATGAGCCGTAGAAGGGGCAATAAAGGAACGCTTTGATCTTTAGAGGAGAGAAAAGGAGGAATATGCAGGGAAGGGAATCAACAGAGACACTCTTCAAGGAACCGCAGTGCTTCCAATGAAGCGGTACATGTTTGAATCACCTGAATGGAGCACTAAATTGGAGCACTGTGAACGTAAGCAGCAAACATATTTTGTGAGAAGGATAAGTGAAGTTCGTATCTTACGACCGATCTTCTTCAATCAAAACGCAATCAATCAAAACATGTCTAGCTCTTTCACTGTTGAGGAGTGTGTGGCAATTAAGTCATCAACTTTTTAGCAAATGCTGTTACTTTGAGGAGTTAAGAATAGGGATGCACCGAAATGAAAATTATTGGCCAAAGCCGAAGCCAACAAAATGAAACATTGAAGGCCGAATACAGAACACGTTTTTTTTTGCATTTTTCCCCCATGTACTTTGTCAATTTGTTTCACCATTGCATAAATGAAATACCCAAATTTTGCATTTTACTGTTTTGTCTTGCTTTTCAAAGAAAAAAGAAATTACAAAACAACAACTTAAAAATATTTACTTAACACTGAAAATTTTTTAACATTCTAGCAGACATTATACCAACAAAGCACAATTTGTTACAAAGCACAATTTAAAATTAATAAGTTAGTAACATTAGTAACATATATATTTGCTATTTTCGGCTGAACAATTTCGGTTGCCGAACATTCGGTGCATCCCCAGTTAAGAAATTTGTATTTGTAGTTGCCAATAAATATTATATTCACTGAACCATTACTAAACTCCTTCAGAACTGTGAGAGATAAACAGACACTGCATTTTCATAATAGAAATGTGCCAATGCCCAGTGAAAAGCTCTGAAATCATCAAGGGACACAAAGTGTCTGATCTGTACACACACATAGTTCCTAAAGGATACAGTTATAATCAAATAAAAAGCTTACCAACTGGATCTCTCATATTTCCCATTTCCAATTTATGTTTTAGAGTTATAAAAAATAATATAAATAAAATAAAAATCCTATGAAATGTATTTCTTATTTTTGCAACTTCATATCTCACAACTGTGACTACTTACTAAGAACTGTGATTTCATTTCTTGCCATTGCAACTTTATTTCTTACAACTGACTTAATTTCTCACAATGTGTTTTCCCCCCAAACAATTACCTCATTTTTTTTAAATCTAAGGCAGAAACGGGATTTCATATTAACAGTTACAGTGGGTACGGAAAGTATTCAGACCCCCTTAAATTTTTCACTCTTTGTTATATTGCAGCCATTTGCTAAAATCATTTAAGTTAATTTTTTTCCTCATTAATGTACACACAGCACCCCATATTGACAGAAAAACACAGAATTGTTGACATTTTTGCAAATTTATTAAAAAAGAAAAACTGAAAAATGCTCAGTATTTAGTAGAAGCACCCTTTTGATCTAATACAGCCATGAGTCTTTGGGAAAGATGCAACAAGTTTTTCACACATGGATTTGGGGATCCTCTGCCATTCCCTCTTGCAGATCCACTCCAGTTCTGTCAGGTTGGATGGTAAACGTTGGTGGACAGCCATTTTTAGGTCTCTCCAGAGATAATGAGGAAAAAAAATTAACTTAAATGATTTTAGCAAATGGCTGCAATATAACAAAGAGTGAAAAATTTAAGGGGGTCTGAATACTTTCCGTACCCACTGTATATCCTTGTGTGGGTGTTTTAACTATAACTTTTAACAGTTTTGCCAAAAGAAACGCTTTACAATAATTACCTCTTTATAATTAGTAAGTCGCTAATTTTGTATATGTGAAAGTACCAAATGTTTGTTCAAGTGATAACTATAAAAAATGTAAATACGATTAAAGTAAATCATGCATGGCAACTTTTCAACTGATTTGAAATGTAACAGATACATTAAAGCTTTAAACTGTACTTAAATATGTACTTTTTCTTAATTTCAAAAACTTAGAAGAACTAGTGTGATCGAAAATATATTAGAGTACATTATGTACATGACTGTTCTACAACAGATGCTGCTGTTGATTTCACTCACTCTCCTGCCATTCTGGATTTTACCGTTTACCAGATGTTCACACGTCTTCAATTAACCCTTAAGAATCCTTCAGATTAAAGTCTTCTTTTCTAGTCGGGACGCACACTCTCAGTTTACCAGATGTTCACACGAAACATTGTGTCTTCAATTAACCCTTAAGAATCCTTCAGATTAAAGTCTTCTTTTCTAGTCGGGACGCACACTCTCATCATGTGATGCATTTTTAAATCCCATCCTAACTGCTCCCACGTAATTTCCCATCCTCTCTATAATGTTTATTCTATAAACAATACAATCTTGTGTTTACCATCAGAGCAGAAGTGCAGCAGTGACGTACTGTATGCGCTGGTGTTGCGGTTTCCTCACTAGAACACAAGTTTTAGTTTGGCCTGCATAAGGTTCATGCATATACCACTCATGTCTTTTACTACTGTCCTCGCCAATTAAGGGACAAAAAAAATACTTTAAATAAATATAAAAGACTTCTTTGGCATCTGAATTATGTCCAAGGTAAAAGATGGATGAATACTTTTGTTTGAATAGCTGCCCTGCCCTGATCATCCAACCGTGAAAGTACATTAAATTATTAATTACTATTAAAAAATCATTAATAGTTAAACGACTTATGTATAACGTGATGCAATGCAATGTAAAGAGTTTGAAAGAAACCACTGAATTAAGGCTTTCCTACTGCACTGCTCCTCAGTGAATGTTCATGAAGCCTAAAACAGCCGTCAGAGAGAGAGATCAAAAGAATAACACCAAATCTGAAATGGATGTCTCACCTTTCTGGCTGTCGATGACAAAGTTGCCCTCCTCATTGCCTGCTGTAATTTTGTATGTGATCCCATCTCCATCTGGGTCCTTGGCCAGCACCGTTGCAACCAGAGTGTTGGGCCCTGCGTCCTCAGAGACAAAGGTTCGATACCTGTTTTTAAACAACACACATATTTCTTTCAAGATATCTTTCATGTTAAACTCACCACTATACCATGTTGTCATTACAGCAAAACAAACACATTAAGGTCTCTATGTTAATTGAATGCAATAGCATTTCCGTACGAGACGAGGTTGTTGCTTACAATACTGCTTGGTTAAATAGAAGCTGCAAGTATTCATACTTGTGACCATCATTATACATACAGTGTTTACCACGGATTTGTTGACTAACAGGATGAAAAGGTGGCTACTAGTATACAGCAAAAGAAAAAAGCTGCATGTGGTATGGATAGCAAATAGAACGAAGAGGAAAATCTAAATTCAGTTTTTAGTGCCCAGTTACATTCTGAACATTATTTAATGCCTTTAGTAGCATGTTGTTGCCATGTCTCAGTTATTGTAAAAGATGTGACATGTCTGGCACATGCTCTATGCACATGTTCGCCAATCACAACGCACTGGGACAGCTAACCAATCAAGAGAACATTTTTTTTTCTTTTTTCGTTTCGTTTGTTTTTTGTTTCATCGAAACAGGAACTAAACCGAGTGTTCAAGACAGACTGGGAAGAGAGGTGCAACAATGTGAAATAAGAGAAAAAGAATGCATTTTTGCAACAATCAAGCATGAAAACCTGTTCTAGTACAACCAAAAAAACAAATCAAGACTTCATAAAAGGACTTAATAGGACCCCTTTAAAGGTTTGGGGTCAGTAAGATCTAGCATTACAGTAAGGAATGCAACTTTCATGCATATTGATTGAATTCTTATTTCAGTGTTGATGTTTGCTTGATACATTCAGTTTAACAGCATTAAAGAGGGCAGATGTCATCATTAAAATTAACTGTGTATATGCATTTTAAACACATTATGTTCTTGCTCCATTCATACAAAAAGTTTTTTTTTTTAGCGTATTTAATTCAACCGCTCAGGTAATGTTAATGGTTTTACCCAGTTCAGTGGTGGCCAAAATTGTGATTTAAAATCAGTAGACAAGCTTCAGGGGGGATCATGTCTTTTTTAGGGAGTCAGTTTTGATGCTTTATTATTAATGATTATTATTATTATTATTATTATTATTATTACTCACACAATTGAAAAAAAAAAGATTTGTTGCTTAATATTTTTTTTTTGTGAGAAAGGCCACAAGAACAGCATTTATATGAAATATACATCTTTTGTGACTATGTTTCAACTGTCAATTCTGATCAATAAAAAGCATCCTTGCGCAACTGTTGTGCATCTGTTCACTATTGACCTCTACAATATGCTACACATTATCTGTGCATGAAAGAAAATGAATCAAATCAAGTTAAAGTGATCAGATGCAGTATGTTTGAATAGAAAATTATGTTTGAGTTGTGTCTAAGTAAGGCATCGTAATGAAGCTTATTACAGCGAGAGCCTTTTAGATAAGAGCGACCTGAAGAGACTGACAGCTCTGACCGTGTCATTACTTCAGTGACTCAAGTCTCTGGCCTCCAGCTGTAGAACAAGCACACACACACACACACACACACACACACACAAACAGACACATGCTCACACGGGGACAATTTTCATTGTTACAGAAAACCCATTATTATTTTGTGAATATAACAAATAACGAGTGGGGGGAGTGAGTTAGACCACACCTCCAATGTTCAATAATAGATTTACCACCGAAAAAGAAACAGTTGAACTAGTTCGCTCAAGGGGCTGTTAACAGACAAAGCCAACACATTTCATGCTAAGCCTTTCTTGCCAAAACCACGCTCACACTTCATCACATCTGAAACAATGCTGTCAATGGAACAGCACCTCGTGGCGACAAGACAAACAGTGCCTCCACATCTGCACAGCGTGCTGTCATTTGAGAAGAGAGAAAAGCGCTGACAAGACTGCGAGATACTTCCATAGTCTCAGCCACCATTCATTATTATTCAGCCGCAAAGATTTCATTTAAGTCACATAGGCAGCACACTGATGGACTTTTTTGTTGTGACAGAGTGTGAGACATTTCCTCTTGATCTGAGAACGACAACGATGGTGCATTAGAGCGGCTAAAGGTCAACTGCCCTGATGCCAGATTGACAATGTGTTCTGGATTCAGCCAGAAAATAAATCTGGAGCTTCTTGTGTAGGAAACAGTTGCTTGTGTGCAGGCTGTGAATACTAATACTTCTGTGAAACCTCAAGATAGAATGATAGCCAGTTTGGCTAAATCTGTTCATAAATAAATGAATAATCAAAGCCACTGAGGCATCCAAAGGTAGAACTTCTGTAAGACTGAAGCAAACATAAATCAAGATTCCGGGAAACAAAGTTAGCTTAAACTCCCATAGCCAACGAGCATCCATTTTTCTTTCTCCAGAGTGTGAATTTGAATGTCTGGTTTAAAAGGGTAGATCACTCAAAACAAAATGTCTGTCATCATTTACTCACCCTCATGTCATTCCAAACCTGCTCTTTCTTTTTTCTGTTGAAGGCAAAAGGTGAATTCCTGAAGAATATGCTGGCTATAATGAAAGTGAATGAGGGCTGGGGCTGTCAAGCTCCAAAACAGAGAGAAAACACACACATACACAATTAAATGAACATAAAAACCTAAGTGTCATGAACAGAGCTCTTTGGCACGTTCATGTGTAAAGATGTTTAATCTTCGAATTAGTCAAATCTTTCCAAAGAATCAGTTGATCCAGTTCAACAAACAGGTCTGTATGATTCATTTACAAATCTAATCTTGTTCTTGGGTTTATCTCAATGATTCAGCTCACTGGAGGAAAAGATCATATGGGGAATGTTTTCATCCAAGCTGCGACCTAATTTATGCAGAAAGGCATAAATATTGGAAAAACAGTTTGCAAATAAAGCAGTGTTTCCAACCAATGCATTCAAGAGAACAAAATATTTTATTAAATGTAATAAATGACTAGCATTTTAGAGCGTACAGACAAAATGCACAGACAAACTAGGTTAAAGGGGTCATATGACGCTTTTTTAAAGATCATTATTTGGTGTATTTGGTGTAACAGAATATGTCACTTTTTGATGTACATACAGGAATTTATTCAGTAATGCATTTCAGTTGTTTTTTTATATGTATGCATTCTCACTGAAGAACAACAACAAATCTTCAAGCAAGATTATGCATTTTGGAGATTTTATTTGCATCTTGATGCGTCCACTCAACATTTTTTTAAATGCAATATCGCAAAATCTGCATAGAAATATGTGGATGGAAGCCCAATAATAACTGATGTTTCAGCCTGAGACAAAACTACTGGTTTTAGAAGAACTACTTTTATAGTGTTTCCAGAGTCTTTCTGAAGCTTAAACTCATTCATCATAAATGCAAGGCAAAAAAGCGATAACCACATTCTCCTTTTAAGTTCCACTGAAGAAAGTAAGTCATATGGGTTTGGGACAACATGACAATGAATGAATGATGACATTTGACTTTCCATCAGAGAAAGTTTAGACAACAGAAAACTGGACTTTATCGAAGAGAACAACATTATCAGTCTCCGTCAATCTGACCAAGAGTCCAGATATGAAAAGTAAAAGCGATGCTGATTTGCCAAAAAGAAGACGGATTGAAGGCTGCAGAGATGGAGATCCAAACAGAAAGATCGAAACAAGGAGATAATGAGGAATGAAAGCTCAAGAATGATGAGAAGACACCAATCAGAGGACAGGAAATGACAGATATAGAGACAGACAGAATGACAGAGGGTAAGAGAGCTTGAGCCCATCATCTCACTCTGTGTAGGGCTGATTGATGGCTAACAGAGGGAAGGTGAAAGGCGTTTCATGTAGGTGATTTATGTCATCCATGGAGACACCATTGCTTGCACTTTTTCACCCTGTCACTGCACCCCAGCGCTGACACACGCGTGACATCCGCGACCTGTAATCTGTTAGAAGTCTCAAAGATCTGAGATTGCGCTCACACACACACAAACACAAACAAACAGAGATCCTCCCCCCACAGAAACACACACAATCCCAGACACACACACACACACACACACACACGCGTTCAGAGACATAACTCAAAGGGTTAGTTTTCAGATGTTAGCTCTGAGGATCTGTTGAGCACAGCCTCTGAGAAAACCTGTCACGGACTAACCATACAAAAACGCCTCGCTTACGTCTCCCTTTCTAAGCCATCGCCATGGCAACAGCGCAGGTGATGGCTCTTGTGACAGTGACTGACAGCTCGCAGAGGCCACTTTGTTTGAAGCGCATGAACCAATCAGACAAGTGATACGCCGGCTCGTCAGCATTCACTGTATACTTCGGCTCATTATGTCAGCTATCAATCAGAAGACAACATTTCGGTTGCAGAGGCCTGGAAAGACATCCATCAACGCAACAAAACAAAGGAGATGAGCGAACGCCAATGATCACAAAAGAATGCTAAGGCTGGGCTCCTAATCATTTTCCCCAAATTTCCAGCTATACGAGGACTGACTGTATCGCCGCTCATTACCATGTCCCGTTGCTGTAAGAACGGCAAAGAAAGCCCGGGCCAATGCGTAATAAACATCACTCAATCCATCTTACTCTTTGTCCTTGGTCAGTTGGTGCCAGTAAACAGATCGGGTAATAATGTACTGTGCAAACGCTATGGCGTGAGTGACAAGGCTCATTTTCAGGCGAACTGAAGGAGCCCGGTGCCTTGAAGCGGAGGGCTTGGGCAAATTAGTCTGCCCAAATGGAACAAACAGCAGTGACAGACATTGCAATTTACTCAATTACATGCCCGACACATATAGTCTATCCTGTTCACAGAAATGATGTAGGATAGAGAGATTGAGTCTTTTCTGTTTGAGGAAAGGAGGGATTTTCAGAGAGGCTAAAAGTTTCAGAGAGGATCTGAGGTGAAGGGAAGGGGAATATACACGCAGGGACAGGTCAGGGTCTGTGGGGAAGTCAGAACACAACGCTTCTACTGGCTTTAGCCATGTCAGACCTAGACTTGTGCCGGTATTCGGTAATGCGGTATA